TACATGGAGTGCGTGAGCCAGCACACAGAGGAGCTCCGCCCCTTCGGAGACATGCCGCGCAAGCTCCGCCTCCAGCTGACACGCGCCTTCGTAGCTGCCCGCACCTTCACGCGCGGCCTGGAGCTGATGCCGCAGGTGGTGGCCAAAGTCTCCACGGTGAGGGGGGGGGGGGGGGGTTTAGTGTGAAACAGGGAGCCCAGACGTAGTCTCAGCCCTGCAGAGCCATGAACATCCAAAAGCAGTGTGTGTGTGTGTGTGTGTGTGTCCATCCATTTCTGTACACAAAGTAAACAGCTTTTATTACCCTGTGCAGACCTTTGACCTCCTCAGGAGTTACCAGTAAACAAGACCCTCGTGCCCTGATCTTATCTTTGAGCAAAGCTTCTCTAAGATGCCCCCACTTGGTCAAGCGGACGGACACGCCTTTTGACACGGCTTTGTGTGTGCGTGCATGTTTGCACGCCAAACTAACATGACAGAAAGGAGACCGTTTCGAGTGTTCGGTGTGGCTGGTTCGTCACCTTCATGCTGCTTCTCATTCAGTAACGGGCATGTGTTGGACCCCAGTACTCCATTGTACTGGTTCAGAGAAACGGCCGGGCAGCTTTAAGCCTCCCCACACTGACCCTAACCCCCTCCCGCCAGGTGAGCCCCACCCCGGGCTGCATTCGGGCCTCCATGAAGATGCTGTACTGCCCCTCCTGCTCAGGGCAGCCAACCCTGCGGCCCTGTGAGAGCTACTGCCTCAACGTTTTGCGTGGCTGCCTGGCGCACCAAGCCGACCTCGACTCTGAGTGGAACCTCTTCCTAGGTGAGGGGGGGGGGGAGCGAGGCCATGGGCTTGTAGTCCCACCAGTAATTTTGGTACCATGTGAAATGATGGATTAGCTGCTAGTTTTTGATGGGGGGGAAAAAACTGGCTGAAAGACCAGGTGAGCAAGTCTGAGGGGGCGCCGCCCTGCTGGTGGAATTTCAGCCAGGTGGTGCTGGCCCCGATGTACCGTTTCGAGGGCTCTTTTGTAGCATGTCTGGTAAAGCGTCTCGTTAAAAACCCAACACCTATTGGAGCCTTGAAAGGAACCGCATGTTACGAATGGGACCTCTTGTTCTTTTTGCAGTCCCAGGGCTCCCCCTTGTGTCTGAAGGGGGTAATACAGTTTATTGAAAATGTTATATTTCGATACTGTTTGGCATGTTATGCTGGTGGATTGTTTGCTAGAGTAATTAAACTTAGGCTGTTAAACTAGAGAACTAACTTCTGGGAGTTTAAGCCACATCCTCTGGTCACCGCCCCGGGTGCCTGTCCCCGGTTTATCAGCTCTGACCCCTGTATATGTACCCCTCCTTCCCTGTCCATGTACCCCTCCCTCCCTGTCCATGTACCCCTCCCTCCCTGTCCATGTACCCCTCCCTCCCTGTCC